AGTGTGATTTAGTGGTTTGCCAAAGATTACAACGTAGCTAGTCCAGGAGGAAGTTAATACTGACTCCTTGTTCCTAGGTGTTGGATGGTCTACCTGAGAACAAAACAGCATGTTTTTCTCATTCAGTCTGGTCTCTAGTTGAATTTAATTTCAGCAACCAATTTCATGAATCGTTTCATGTGAATTTGTGTGTAGTGTTCTGACTAGAATCCTTTATTATATTTTATTTGTGTAATTTGAGGCCTGCCTGTGCATTATAATGATGTATGCTTTTACCTAAATCTTAAACTCCAGACAACAAAAATTAGAAGAAAAGGGTCAAATTTAAAATTCCAATTAACTACTTGCAAAATGAAAGCCAGAATAAATGATAGAAACAGGATCCTGGAATATTTTAAAAAAGAATTGGTGTAAGTTACAGCAACCAAGGGACAGTAAAATTGATGCACTGATGCTCACATATCAAACTAGTGCAACGATTACAGTTCTACTTAGCAATGGTGCATAAATGCTGAAGTCAAAACCTACAACGATAAATAAAATTGATGTGCACTTGCAATGCGAATGTTGTCCCATCTCCTATAAAAAGATGCATTTGGAGGTGATAAGCACTGGCTAGTGTTTCTTTAGTATGTACATTGCTAACTATATTTTTCCCCTAGAAAGTGATAAATTCGGGGACATATGTCAAAATGCATTTATTTCTAGTTTTGCTATCACAAATATTTTCCCGTTGTTCTTCATACAAGAGAGGAGTTTGTCACTTTGCTCTTCTGAATAACAATCGGTAGCAAGGGCCAGAAAATAACATTTCTATGGGTAACAGAATAAGCGTATTTTAAATGTCATCTTGACAATTATTGAAAAATCATATGGATATTGGCTTAATAGTACATGCTCTATCCAAGAAGACTGGCCACTACTTTATATTAGCTAGCTACAGCTGTGTTGATCTATGAACTAGTTATTAGATATTCACCTCCCGAAAGCAAGAAAAAGTATTAATTTTGTAGAGTGAAGCAATCCAAATTGTGAAAAGTCACTATGTTGTACGTTAGGAGGCCAGCGTTGGTATATGGTCTTCCAGACAGAAACCTGGCTCAGTGGACGTGATCACACCTCAGCTAAGACCACCATAGGTTCATGTGAGCTTTGCTTATTTGATTTAGAGAGACCTGTTCTTCCCCTCAATCCTCCCTGGCTCTCTTGATGTTCTCAATCCCTTTGCTGTTTCATGTCCAGTTGGCATTAAGACTCTCTTGTTATGTCTCTAGAGATGGAAAGCTCTGTCACTGGTCAAGAGCTACCATTTGTTCCCCTGTTTTGTTTTGTTTTGTTTTGTTTTGTTTTGTTTTGTTTTGTTTTCCCCACCTGCTGTCTTTGGTGGGTCTTTTCTTTCCATCCCACATGATGCTTTCAATACCATTAGATAAAGTCTGACTGTGCTGGGCATCTTGTCACATGGAATTCTAATTCTTTGAACGTACTTGAAGCATCATGGATCATCTATTTTCTACAGTCCCCCTTGAAGGATTTTTTTTCTTCCATCTCATTGTTCTGTCCCTCCGTATGTACAACACACCTGGCTAACGGGAGTTTAAATAGAATTACTATATTAATGGGAGTTTGCTATTTTATTCTTCCTTTCTGCTCTGATTCATTCATCATATGTCCTTAATGGAAATTATGTGACAGGGATATATATACCATTTGAAGTACATTGTTCCTTAACTAGAGATAGGAGATACTCTCTTTAGAAAAATATATTCAGTGATATGTTTCACCTCAATAAAACACCATGTAAGTTTTAAAGTATAACCCCAGATTTCCAATATATTTTGTAGATTTCTGAAGCAACATATTTTAACTTTTCTCTCTGGAAAACTATACTGGAATCAGATCATCCTATATATCTCTAAATCAATAAATACCTGTTGCTCAGTGTACCGGATGTCTAACCTTGCATGCAGAACACCCTTGTGGGAAACCACACAAGTTAGACCCTATGTGTAGAATGTAAATTACATAATGTGTAGTCAAAAGCATGATGCCATGAATTTTTTTTCTTTAATAGGTCACAAATTGAAATTTTAACCATTTAACTATTTGTTAAAAATGTACTCCAATTCTTAACTATTCTGTTCACTTAACAAAAGCAACACACCTACGTTCATTAGATTATTATTATTATTATTATTATTATTATTATTAGCAAATAATTTTTTTAAAAATCATTTCACAAGAAGTACTAATCACTTAGACATTATTAGAGTCCAATTTTACATAATCCCAAACACATGCATTCTTATAAAACCATCTGTGCACACTCCCATTTTTTTATATTCTTTTCCAAGTTGGTATAATTTTATTTAAGGTATGCCTAAATCTTTAAGTAACAGTCTTCCAAACTTTTATTTTTAATTGTTCCCTTCTATTGAAAATAAATACTCTCTTATACACTATATTCTGATTATAGTTTCCCTTCCCTCTACTCTTCCTACCTCCTGCCCACCTCACAACACAAATGGATCCATTCCCTCTGTCTCTCAGTAGAAAAGAACAGCCTTCTGAGAGATAACTACAAAACATAACAAAATAACATATAATACGATAAAGTAAAAGCAATCACAAACCGGCAGAAGAAAAAGAGCCTAAGAGAAGGCACAAGAATCAGAGACCCACTCATTCACACATTCTGGAGTGCCATAAAAATATAAAACTGAAAATTATAATATGTGCGTAATATACATATACAGAGGACCTGGTGAACCCCCATCAGGCACTTGCTGCTCCAGTCTCTGTGAATTAATAGAAGCTTTGCTCATTTGATTTAGAGGAATTTGTCTTCTGATGTCCACACTATCCTCTGGTTATTATGTTCTTTCTGCCTCCTTTTCTCTGGGGTTCTCTGAGCTCTGAGGGGAGGAATTTGATGGAGACATCTTATTCAGAGCTCTGTGTCCTAAGGTGTCTCTGCCTTTCTGTGTCTCTCAATTTCTGTTTATAAAATCTGGCTGTGGGTCTGCTTTTGTTTTTATCTGCTGCAAGAGGAAGCTTCTCTGATGTTGGCTGCAGAAGGCACTGATCTATGAGTATAGAAGAATATCATTAGGAGTCATTTTACCACTACTTTTTTTTTAAAGGCCAATAGTGTGGATGTTGTCTTCAGTAATAGGGCCTTGCTGTCAAATGTGCAGAGGAACTTATTGTCTTGGCCACAGCCCAGCTTGTTTGGAGATTTCTATCAGACCCCCATGGCCAACAGCTCAAACTGTGTGTAACCAAGTCCTAGTATTGGAGACCCTGTTTCGTGATAATTAGATAGTCCGCTGGGACTCTAGCTCACCCATTATTTGGATTCTTCATTAGGATTGCTTTCGTTTTTTAAAACCACTGAACTATGTTTCCTCACTGCTCCTCAATTTTAGCTGTTTCTTCCCTCTTTGCCTCCCTCATCTCCCCTTCTCTTCCCCATCTTCTCCTCCTATTCCTATATTCCCACACACAGACAGGCAATCCACACATAAAATATATTCTATTCCCCTCTTTCAGGGAGATCCATGTGTCTCCCCCACTCCCAGTCCTTGCCTCTGTTCCTAACCTCTTTGTGTCTACAGACTATAGCTTGGTTGTAATTTACTTAATGGCTAATATCCATATGTAAACAACTACATATCCTATTTATCTTTCTGAGTCTGGGTTAGCTCAGTTAGGATAATTGTTTCTAGTTCTGTCCATTTGCCTGAAAATTTCATGATTTCATTTTGTAAACAACTAAGTAATACTCCACTGTGTAAATGTGCCACATTTTCTTTATTCATTCTTTTGGTAAGAGATATCTTGGTTGACCAATTTCTAGCTATTTTGAATAGCGCAGAAAAAAAAAACATGTTTGAATAATACCATTTTCTAGTAGTAAGATTTTAGTAGTGTGTAATCACTTCAATCAGTCACTTGTGTCATAACCATACTCTACAGTAAAAGAAGGGCTAAAATTGCTTAGATTATCAGGAAGTTTAATTCAGTTGGGTTTCCTACCCTAACTCGAACAATTTTTTTAAATGCCCTCATGTATGAAGACGGATACATACTAGTGTCACAGTGTGTCATGTTTATGTTGACTATACTGAAAGGCTCTATGTTTTAATTAAACTCTGTGTGTCTCATTATACTGGATAATCAATGCAAGGACTATAATAGGTCATGGACATGGGATAACATTTCTAATAAACAACCAAATCTATTTATTTTTCATTAAGGATTTGCATTTTTTGTTTCATCTTCATTCACACACTAGGCACAAGCTACTTAGAGACTGAAACGGATTGGACAACGGCTTCTAAAGCTATCTATATCTTCATCTCCAGAATTTTTGTATGTGTTAAATTATTTTGCAAATTAGAATTAAGAATGCAGATTAAATAAAGCTATCAGTCACCTGATTTTATGATGAGAAAATCCAGGTCCATTCTAGTCAGTGCAACATAGTAACAAATGTCCTTAGAAGTTGAAGATGACATCAGACAGGTTTTGGGAAGAAAGAACCTCAGCTAGACAAAAGAGGAAGCCATGAGAGAAGGAGAGTGACAGCTTTTAGCAGCTTCCAATAACAAAGGAATGAGTTAGGGCCCACACAAAGGAGTTGATATCTTATAACACAGGTCAACACCCAGTGGGACATAGTCAGGGTTTCTGTACTTCTTAAGGGTAAAACAATTAGGTTATGCCATCTTAAATAACTATATTTACATCATTTTGTTTTGTTAGCCAATTAAGTGGAGGAAGACCCTGCAGTCAGTGCTCTTCCTCCTCCTCTTCCCCCTCTACCTTCTGTTCATTCTCCTTTTGGTCCTGCCCCTGCTCCTCCTCATTGTCCTCTTCTTTCCTCCTGTTTCCAGAATGATTTGTCACTGAAATTGTATTAATAAAATAGTTCATTTTTTTCACATCTCTTGTAAAATTGTCAGTCTGCTTAAATACGTCTAATTGCTCATTTTCAGGAAGTAATCCACAGCAGTCAAGAAATGCAAAGGAAAGATCAAGAAGTTCCTGGTGCACTTGGAACTGATGTCTTCAAAACAGAAGTGGTAATTGCTTACTAACACAGTAATTTTCAAATGGTCTCCAGAACTTTGTAGAATTTCTGACTTTGCTATAAACATATGCTTTTACTATATGTATTTAGTATAAATATACAGCAGTGTGCCTAACTCTACTTTCCTGTTAGAAATTTTTTTAAAAATTAAACAAGCACCCTAAAAATATGCCTGCAGTTAGGTGCTGTTCGCATATGTTCTGTTATAACTTGATTATACTTTATAACAAACAATAGAAATAGCAGCTAGCATCCCACAACACACACCAAATTCTCAGGAGAAACACACTGTAGAATGAAGATTATGTTCAGCACTCAAATCACCAGCTTCTTCAAAACAATTATTCTTTTAAAATTGTCTTTAAACACAGATGTCGCATCTTGAAAAGCACACTGAGGAAACAAAGCAAGCTTCGAAGCTTCACCAGTATGTTCAAGAAACAGGTAACAGACTGGAACTCTTGGTTCCACTCTATCTTTGTCCTCTCAGTGTGTCTGGGTTTGGAGGACTTTCAATAGCCAGCACTCCCCACCAAGTAACTTTAATAATTGTGACTCATGTTCCCAAAGAGGTCAAGATAGCATTTCTGCATATAATTAGATTTTGACTGTGGTAATGCATGTAATATTTTTAAAAATAGCTCATTGCCATCAGACCTACGATAAATCCATCCTAAATTCCAAAAGCTTGATAAAGTAACAACTACTATTTTTTTTTTACCTCAGGACCTAAAATTCATTGCTTATAAAACACCCTGACAATAAAATTGTTTACATTACATTAATATTAATAACAAATTAAGTAACTAATATGCTTAATTCTCAACCCACAGATAGGAGGTGAGTTTACACAGAAATTTCTAGATGTTTGTCAAGGATAAAATATAGCTGTCTACTGGGCAATAGAGGAAAGGTTTGCTTATCCAGTGAGATGAAAGGATAGATTTAGCCCTACTGTGTCCTATACCTTATTTGGGTCTGGCCGCTTAAGGAAGGAAGCATTCTACTTGCCAGGTTCTGCGACTCATGTTAATAATCCTGGCATGTAGGGGGTTCAATTTGGAGGACTGCTTCAGGTTCAAGGCTTGCCTACACTATTTAGTGAGATGTAGACCAAGAACTTTTTCTCAAAATATCCCAGACAAACAAGGAAATAAGAAAAGTAAGCCTCCAATCCTCTTTGTGTTCTTTGAGATGTGTTATTTTTCCTGAGTATAGAATTATAGCATAGAAGCAGAAATTTTGGAAATATCCCTTTTCATCATTAACTACTCCAACATCTTTTAAGAATTTTAATGCGTATTGTTTGGGGGGGGGTTGTAAAGACAGAGAGAGAAAGAGAGGGAGAGAGAAAACCCTCAGAAGCCACAAGAGGACATCATACCCAGTACAACTGAAGCTCCAAGCTCTTGTGATCTGCCCAGCACAAGCGTTGTGAACTAAACTTAGGTCCCTTGCAAGAGCAGCAAGTTCTCCCAACCAATGCACCATCTCTCCTGCCCATCACCAAAATTTTTCTGTTTCTCCCTTAATATTTGTTGCTTCCCTCCTAAATTTATAGATAAAGAAATGCTGTGTGCATAAATTTGTCCTTTGAGTCCTGTTCCTTAATTTACATTATAAGGAGTTTAATGCAGCATGACATTTTCTTCTCAGATACCATTTTATTCATTATAGACTATCCCTGTTACCTAATTCTCTTTGTAGTCATTGATACGCCAGAGGATGAAGAGATTCCAAAGGTTTCCACCAAGATTTTAAAAGAGCAATTTGAAAAGTCTGCCCAGGAAAAGTTCCTCTACACTGATAAAGAAACAACAACCCCACCCAAGTGCATAAAGGTATGGTGAATTTTCTGTACAGGGACACATTAGGTATTAGAATCATACTTAAATATCCTTAAATTTTTGTGGCATTTTCTTAACAGAATTTTTTAACTAACTTTTATTCTGTTTCATAAAGAGGGTATTGATCTATGAGGTAGAGTAAATTCTTCCCAACAACTGGGCAACATGGATGAAGAAAACTATGTACATGTTAAAGTATCTAACATGAAATAAAATAATTAAGTTAGTTCTGAATTACGATGGTTACATGCTCTGCTTTAAATGCCACAGAAAACAAAACCTCCACAAAACACTTCAAGACTTTTCTCCTTTTCTGAAGATTTTCTTCTTTCTTTATTCTGCTCATTGAGTAAAGAGGGGAAATTAAGAGTATGTATAAATGTTAAACTGGGCATATATGTTTAATCCCAGAATTTGTGAGACAGAGGCAGGAAGATATCTGTGAGTTCAAGGTTTGCCAATGCTACAAATAGAGATTCTGTCTCGAAAGCAAAAACAAAACAAAACAAAAAAGACATATTAATGTTAAAAGGCTGAGTGCTGAGTCATTTGTTGATGAAACAACATTATTATTAAAAATAGAATATTTGTTAACACATATTAAGTATTTTCCCAAGTAGGTTTAAATACAATGCATACCTGTTTTTCAAGGAAGTCATCGCAACAGAATCCTGCCATGGACAGGTGAAAGGTGGGATTCAGGAAATCTCCATACCACAATCATTGTTATAAGTTTTGATTTTCTCTCCCTTAAAGATGAAAAATGACAGTGAAGAAACCTTAAAGCCATCATCAGCTGTGGGTGCCTGTTCTTACACTTCAACCAGCCAGAGGAAGGAAACTTCAACCTCAAGTTATAGTAATCATAGTCTCACTTCTACAGCCCTGGCACAAATTAATGGTATTTCTTCAGGAAAGATGGAAGAATTTCCTCCTCCCCCACTTGATGTACTTCAGACACCAATGGATGCAACAGCATTTTCCCAGTCCCCTGAATTCCCCAGCTCCCCTAGAAAACTACCAATCCCCAAAGATTTATATTCCAAACAAAGAAATTTGTATGAATTAAACCGTTTATATAAACATATCCATCCTGAGTTAAGAAAAAACTTAGAAAAAGATTACATCAATGAGGTTTCAGAAATTGTTTCTAGCCAGATCAACTCAGGAAATTCAGTTTCAGCAGATGTGCAACAGGCTCGGTATGTTTTTGAGAATACGAATGACAGTTCTCAGAAAGATCTGAACTCAGAAAGAGAAAACCTGGAGTGGGATGAAATTCTGAAAGGAGAGGTGCAGTCAATGAGATGGATTTTTGAGAATCAGCCTTTAGATTCTATCAACAATGGCTCTACAGAGGAAGGGTATGCTTCCAAAGGCATTGCTGACCAAGAACTCATCGCGGGGGGTGATGTGAAGTACACTACTTGGATGTTTGAAACTCAGCCAATAGATGCCCTGGGGGTTCCTTCTGCTGACACTGAAGGAAACACTGAGAAAATTCCCGAGCTAGCTAGAGGAGATGTTTGCACAGCAAGATGGATGTTTGAAACAAGGCCTTTAGACTCTATGAACAAAATGCATCAGAGTCAAGAAGAAACAGAATATACTGCTATAAAGGACATAACTGGAGGAGATGTCAAGACTGTGAGATACATGTTTGAAACTCAACAACTGGATCAACTTGGACAGCTTCACTCAGTGGATGAAGTTAACTTATTACAACTCAGGTCAGAACTCAAAGAAATTAAAGGAAATGTAAAGAGAAGCATAAAGTGTTTTGAAACTCAACCACTGTATGTCATTAGAGATGGTTCAGGCCAAGTGCTAGAAATTAAAACTGTACATAGAGAAGATGTTGAAAGGGGGGATGTGAGAACAGCACGCTGGATGTTTGAAACACAGCCTTTGGACACAATTAGCAAGGATATCACAGAAATTAAAGTAGTTCGAGGAATATCCATGGAAGAAAATATCAAAGGTGGGGTGAGTAGAGCAAAGTGGTTGTTTGAAACTCAACCACTAGAGAAAATCAAAGAAGAGTCAGACGAAGTTGTCCCAAAAAAAGAAGCAGCCATAGGTACAGATGTTTCGAAAAAGTGTTGGATGTTTGAAACGCAGCCATTGGACATTTTAAAGGAAGTTCCTGATGCAGATACTGTATCACCCGAAGAGAGAATAGGGGGTGACGTAAAGACCACCAAACATCTATTTGAAACACTTCCCATAGAGGTTTTAAAAGACAGTCCTGATGTTGGAAAGCTTCAAAAAATCACCACTTCTGAAGAAGAAAAGGGAGATGTTAAGCACCAAAAATGGGTTTTTGAAACTCAACGTTTAGAAGATATTAGGGAAGATAAGAAAGAGTATACACGGACAGTGAGGCTAGAGGCAGTTGACAGAGGTCATGTAAAGGACTATGCATATATCTTTGAATCCAATAATTTAATTAAGGTTGATTCATCTCATCAAGTTGAGATAGAAGGAGTCACAGGAGGGACTGTGAAGTTGAATAAATCTCTCTTTGAGACAACCCCACTGTATGCCATTCAAGACCATCTTGGAAAATACCACCAAGTAAAGACAGTCCAGCAAGAAGAAATACTAAGAGGTGATGTGAGAAGCTGTAGATGGCTTTTTGAAACAAGGCCTATTGACCAATTTGATAAAAGTCTTCATAAATTTCAGATAATTAGAGGAATATCTGCTCAAGAAATACAGGCAGGGAATGTGAAATCTGCTAGGTGGTTGTTTGAAACCCAGCCTCTTGATTCAATTAAATATTTTAGCAATGTGGAAGAAACAGAGAGCAAAACTGAACAAACTATAGATATTGTTAAAGGGGATGTCAAAACCTGCAAATGGTTATTTGAGACCCAACCTATGGAGTCTCTTTATGAAAGAGCTTCCGTGATGACCAACATTGGAGATATTCAAAAAGGTGATGTTAGAACCTGTACCTGGCTTTTTGAAACTCAGCCACTTGATGCCATAAAAGAAAACTCTGGAGCAACAGACAAAGTGCAAACTGTAAAGCAGGAAGAGATACAAGGTGGGGATGTTCGAACAGCATGTTTTCTTTTTGAGACAGAAAATCTAGATAGCATACAGGGGAATGAGGGGAAAGACATCAAGCCTGTGGAGGCAGATATACAATCTGGGGACGTCTCTGGCATGAAGTACAAATTTGAAAATCAGTCCTTAGACTCTTTAAGTTGCAGTTCAGTGAATGTTTTGAACAAGATCAAAACCCTAAAAACTGAAGACATTCAGAAAGGCAATGTTTTAAGTTGTAGGTGGCTATTTGAAAACCAACCTATTGATATGATAAAAGAAAATCGAGAAGGTGATAGATTGGTTAAGACAGTGACAGACATACAAGGCGGGGATGTGAGAAAGAGGTGCTTCATTTTTGAGACATTTTCTTTAGATGAGATAAAAGAAGAATCTGATGGCATCAGCACCAGGGAAACAAATACTGAAGAAGTAATAAAAGGTGATGTAAAAAGCTACAAAATGCTCTTTGAAACACAACCACTCTATGCAATTCAAGATCAAGAAGGGTTTTACCATGAAGTGACGACAGTTAAGAAAGAAGAAGTAATTCATGGAGATGTACGCGGAACAAGGTGGCTCTTTGAAACAAAGCCACTAGATTCAATCAATGAGTCAGAAGATATATATGTTATTAAATCTGTCACTCAGGAAGACATTCAGAAAGGGGATGTGAGTTCTGTCAGATACAGATTTGAAACTCAACCACTGGATAAGATTTCAGACAAATCACATAGTATTGTGCCCACTGTTGAGTGTATTCAAGGAGGCAATGTGGAGATGAGTAAACAATTCTTTGAGTCTGAAAGTGTTGATAAAAAGAATTATATACGAACAGTAAGTGTCAGTGAAGCACAAAAGGGCAATGTTAAGACTTCTACTTGGCTCTTTGAAACTCACAGCATAGATGAGTTGGGAGAAGGGTCCAGATATGAAAATATCAAGACGGTTAAGCAAGAAGATGTGCAAAAAGGTGATGTTAAGCAAGCAGTGTGGCTTTTTGAAAACCAAACTTTGGATTCTATTAAGGAAGTAGATGAAAGTGACACAAAAATAATCAAGGAAGAAATTCCTCCATCAGATGTCAAGACAACTACGTGGCTCTTTGAAACAACACCTTTTCATGAATTTAATGAAACTAGAATAGAAAAGGTAGAAATCATTGGTAAAAGTATTAAAGAAACGTTGGAAGACCTCTATTCTCAAAGAGTTATTGAAGCTCCTGGAATTATCATTGAAGCTGATGAAATTGGGGATGTCAGAATGGCAAAATACAAACTTATGAACCAAAAAGCGCCTGAGATACAAAAAGAAGAAGTTATCAGGGCTGATCTCAGAAACATAATGATGAACTTACTTTCCCAAAGAGACTATACAAAGAAAGGGATATTTGTCAGTGAAGAGGAGAAGGGAAATGTTAATTTGGCTAAAACTCAATTATTAAACAGATCAACTGAATTTCATGCTGAAAAGGAAGAGATAGTGAGAGGGGATGTAAAACAAGCAATAAAAAAGCTGTTCTCAGAGGAAAGATGTGCAAAGAAAGGCATATTGATTCAAGAAGATGAAAAGGGAGATATTAACATGACTATCTATTGTCTTCTTCATGAAAATGCTGGTGAAAAGACTGAGCGTGAGGGCATCATAGGAGGTGATGTGAAACGCACCATTCATAATCTGTTATCTTCTACATCAAATGGTAAAATATCTGAAAGGACAAAAATCGATGCCTCAGAGAGGGGAAATGTTCAGTTCTTCACAACATGCATAGAAACTGGAGCTTTGGATTACCTCAAACAACTCCAAACAGGGTCAAATGAAACACTCACAGCTAGAAAGCAAGAAGGAGAGGAAGACATAATTGGTGGTGATGTTGAGGGTACAAAATTCTTACTAAAGAAAAGACAGTCTCCATTTCAATGTACTGTTAGTGAAACTGACATCATCCCTGGGGATGTGCATAATACAGTTAAAGTCTTCATGACGGAGCCTCAGAGTTCAGCTTACAAAACAGCAAAAGAAGAGATTATAAAAGGTGATGTGAAATCAAGCTTGAATTCTCTCAACCAGGCCACGAATCAGAAAACAGTGGCTAAAACAGAAGAAATTGTGAAAGATGACCAGCTAGCCACACTCAAGTCACTTAAGGAGTCAAGAGACAGACAGAAAGAATCTAAGCAATCTGGTGGTGTCTCTAGTGATATTGGGAAAGCTATTGAGTTCTTAGAAAAGGCTACAAATACAAGGACTGAAATATTGAAAAAAGAGCTGATACTAGATGATCTTGAAACATCATTAAGATCTTTGAAAGAAGCACAAAGGGGTTTCAAAGAAGTTGATAAAGAAGGAATAATCAAAGAAGATGTATTACCTAGGATGGTAGGATTCTCAGAAAAACAAAAATTAGGGATTCATCCAGCAGCTGTCCAGAGAGACAAAAAATGTCTTCTTCAACCAGTGCCAGGACCAGTTGAGCCAGCGGTCATGCAGCAAACAGGACCAGGCACTCTTGATGAAACTACGCAGAAATCCTGCCATCTGTCTTTAACAGAAGAAAAAACTGAAGCTAATCTTTTCAAAGCACCCAAGGGCACTGTAAAGATTGTCATTGATCGTGAACAAAACAATGATGCTCTTGAGAAAAGCCTTAGGAGAATGTCTAACTCAGAACACAGAGCTATGAAAAACGTCCTAGACATGAGTGAAAGAATGGGCGTCTGGACTGACAGCAAAGAGTATCTGCGTAGGGGTGACCACAGGAGCAAACAGTTGACTGCAGCCACATCCATGAGGGAAAGGCTCAAAACCAAGGAATCTGAGAATGTAAGAGAACCAAAGGACAACGTCTTTCGCTCCTCACAGTCTGTGGATAAAACATTTAGGAAGCAGCAGACTCAAACCTGTGAACTAGGGAATGACCACCGGAAGTCTCAGTTCCAGGATTCTTATGGGAAGAGTCAAGAAAATACCAAAAACAATATACCAGCAGAGATTCAAAGTTATAGACCAGATCACAGCCACCATCTAGCCAACAGTACAGCTGGAGAAATGCATAGGACGACAAGCGACTTTCAGAAGCCAACCTTGCTAAGTCAGGAAAAGCAGTACTCTAATAACGACACAAAGAAAAATGCCATGAGCCTTCAGCCCTTGCCTGTCTATGAGGATGTTCACAATGTACCAGGAGTGAGAGTCTCTGGGAAGAGCCATAAAAAATTTCGGGCAACTGACAAAAAACAGAAAATTGATGTTTGTCTAGAAAACCAGGACTTCCTAATGAAGACAAATACTACCAAAGAGTTAAAAATGGCAATGGAGAGGTCACTTAATCCAATCAACCTTCACCCTGAATGTGGCATGAAGGAAAATGAGGATTCCCTTCCACCTCCATCTCCCCCTCCTCCTCCACCTTCCAATGCATCATCTGAAATTGAATTTCCTCTCCCTCCTCCACCACCTTTAATGTTCCTGCCTGAAAAAAATGAGTTTCCTCCATCATCATCCACAGAGAAGACAAGGACTGAATTGGAAAGCTTCCCGAACCTCCCTCTTCCTCCACCATCAGTAGGTGAGAAATCTGAACAAGAAGGTCTACCAGCATCTCTCCTTCCTCCACCTCTGCCAACTGCATCTCAATCAGTACATCTTCTTTCCTCTTCTCTTCTGGAAAACCACAGCGAGGCATTCATACAAAAGTCTTCCCAAAAGGAAGCCTTGGATTCTCATCAGCTTCACTCACAGACTAAAATCCTAACAGGAAAATCCCCACCACCTACACTCCCCAAACCTAAACTTCCCAAGAGAATTAAAGATAAAATGGGTCAGTATTCCCCCAATGGTGAAGTGGAAAGATCTATGTCAGATATGCAAGTTAAAACTTCCCTCTCAAAGGATCAGAAAAGATCAATGATGGCAATGAGCAGCGAGCACACAAAGACAAAGCAGGAAGTACTCAGAAACAGTCTTGATGAAAGAAAACAGCTGCCGATCCACTCTGCAAACTCACTTTCTCAGACAGTTCCAGAAATCCCAGCACCCAAGGGAAAGCAGACAGCACCTCTTGTTAAATCCCACTCATTGCCATCAGGTTCAGAGCAACAAAGTCCAAAGCCTTACATGAGAAAATTTAAGACACCTTTAATGATTGCTGAAGAAAAATACAGACAACAAAGAGAAGAGCTTGAGAAACAGAGACGAGAGAGTTCTTGCCAAAGCATCATCAAAAAAGAAATCCACCACCAAAGTTTATCAGAGGAGGAGAAAGAAAGAGAGTTACAAAAAGCAGCAGAAGCAATCTCCACACCCAGAAAGGATTCAGACTTTACTAGGGCACAACCCAACCTGGACTGTAAGAACAGGACTGTGCTTGCAGACACATGCTCTGACATACATTGCTCCACAGCTTCCCTATTGACAGTTGCTACTGAGAGGCTCCAGCACGTTCTCGAAGCTTCAGAAGATAAACTTTCCCTGAGAAAGGAAGGCATACAGAGCTCAAGGGATACCTTCCAAGCGAAATCAGCTTGCGAACTTAACCAGAGTCACAAGGAAGGTGAGACAAAGCAAAGGCTTGAGCAACACCTGGAGAAGCTGTCCTTTCCCCAGAGCAAACCCATTTCCCCAAGTTTCAAAGTAAAAACTATCAAGCTTCCCACTCTACATCAGAGTGAAACAGATCTCAGTTCCGAAAGTCATATAAAGCAATGTGAGGTAGACGTTCAAATGAATCAGGAACTCAAGAAAACCCAAGCAGGTACACAGTATGATAATAAGCAATCTGTGCCTGATAAACATCTTCCCTTACCTAAAACAGAGAAAAGGGTGACTATACAAATGCCTAAAGAATATGGAGAGAAATCTCATAAAAGTAAGCTCCAAACAGTTCCCAAGAAGCAGAGGGCATTTGGGGGTGCTGACAGAGGGAATGTCCTAGGGAGTGAAGGAAAAAATCAGGACTCCTCAATGAGCATTTCCAAAGAAGACCAATTAATGGTTGAAAGAAAGCAAGGAGGTTTGCAGGAGCAGAGAGTATCAAGGTTAGTCCAACAAAAGATTACCGATGCACATCTGGACTCACAGGTTCAGAATTTTCACCAGACACAAACACAAACTTCTGGAAGTACAACTGAGCATGAAAAACTGTCCCAGCTGCATAATGCCATGCAGGAGAAAGAACGTCTTAGAGATGAGGGCATACGAGAGAGACATGTCTTCTCTAACACTGAGGATTCAAAGCAAGAGATGAAACAGAACAAATCTTCATTTTTCTCTGTGAAGGAATCCCAGCGGGATGATGGAAAATGTAACATAAATATATTGGAATTCCTGAGGAAACGTGAAGACCTACAGCAGATTTTGTCTAGAGTAAAACAATTTGAAGCAGAGTCAAATGAGAGCGGCCTTAAAACATTTCAGACTCTGTTAAATATTGTTCCAGTGTGGCTGATAAGTGAGGAAAAAAGAGAATATGGAGTTCGTGTTGCCATGGAGAATAATTTCGAAAAAGTCAAAGAAGAAATAACACATATTAAAACCCAAGCGGAGGATATGCTGGTTCACTGCGAACATATAATTCAAACAGCTATGATGGCCTCCCCAACAGGAAAGCAGGGAGATAAACCTACCAATCTTAATGAAATGTCATTGAAAGTGTCTAATGTTAATGCCAGCTCTAATAAATGCACTGAGCAGAAAGAAAGTAAAATTGTAGAAGAAAAATTAACACACCACCAGGTAGCAACCCATCATGAGGCAGCAACTCAGAATCTTGCTAAAACACATCAGGAAGCTAATGGAGAAGATAGTAAGACGCCTCCTCCCTCTTTGAAAACTCGCCCGCCATCACCGACTTTCATTACAATCGAGTCGACTGCCCGCCGGGCAGAAACCCCCAGTAAGGGTGAGCTTTCTCAGTCCCCTAAAAAGAACAGTTGTACTGAACCTCCGAAGAGAAGACCCTCGGAGCAAACACCACGTCTTCACAGAACATGCACGTCCCCATCCCCACCGAGGGGTGGCTCAGAACAACTTGTCAAACTCAAAGACACCACAGCCAGGTTAGCCAAAGGCACCCTCCCCTGTCCCCCGGGGACCCCGGTTCCAATCGTACAGAAGAGATCTCAAGTTGTCGTGTCTCCGGCCACACTCCGCAGGCAAATTAAGATTGAAAGCCGTGGAGGGGACTCTCCACCCACCATCACAATACCTGTAAACGTAAACCGTGCAGTCAGTGAGTCCTTCAGAGAATCTGTAGACACTCAAGAGTCAGTGAGGAAAATAGGAAAAAGGGAGGCTTATGTTCGTAAAGACGAAACGAATTCCATCAACAGAGCAATGCCAGAGACTGAAAGCTACGATGCAGTTGAAATAGTACGCAAGGTGGAAGGGCCTCGCCTATCAGAGCACATGGAAAGATTTGAAGCCACCAATCAAACTGTTCAAACGGCTGAACATTTTCTGAATGGCCACGAAAATGAAATAAACAGATGGTTTAGGGAATTTGAGAACGGCCCAGTTTTCGGAGCAAAGAATGATAGAAGAGCTTATGCAAATGGTGAAATAAACCACAACATGAAGCAAGAGAATCACACATTCTGTAAGGAGGAATTTGGATTAGCATCTTCTGGAAATGCTAATTTTACAGGCTTTTCTTACAGACATCCTAGAGAGCACCAAGAAAAACTTCCTGCAATGCAACCCAGGGTTCGTTCTGAAGCGACGCTTCTGAGTGAACATTTCTTAGGCGTGGATGCATACGACCGTCAGATTGTTGGGTCAGAGATAGCAACCTCGTCATCACGTAGCTGTAGCTCAGAAGCTGCCAGATCTGGCTTTGATTTCAAGCATGCCCCCCCGACCTATGAAGACGTGATTGCTGGCCATATCCTAGACATTGCCGATTCACCCACAAACTTCAGGAGGGATTTCCAAAAGACGTGGCAGGAGAGTGAAAGGGTTGTTCATGCAACTGAAATGAGCAGGGCCTTCCAGGAGCAGTCTGCCTTTAAGAGCGGTAAATGAGATTGACGGATGTGAAAGAATAACCCACGTGAAAGCATGTGTGCCACAGCCAGATGATTTGCAATTAAAATACTGTGTGGAAATAACCAAGTAACAAGCTGGGACTAACAGCTAGCTACTCCTGTAGGTTTCAGGATTCTCTGCTGTCCTTGCTTTCATTGCTTTCTTCTTTATATTAACATCTACTATGATCTGCAGTATGCATTACTGAACCCTGTTCTTCAAACTCAAGTTAAATAAGAGTTTGAGGAAAGCATCATCATAATCATTGCAGTGGTTTTTAGTACTATACATTGCTATAGAACCAACTCATTATTAAAATTTCATGGTAAAAATTGACTTTATTCAGTTGCTTATGGCGGTATCAGATCAAAACCTTTAGCCCAGTCTAGATAAGTTTTACCTGCGGGCTTTAGTAGCCTTGACATTGAATTCCATACACCTTAGTGATAGCCCCAGACAGAACTCACAGTATGCATACATGCTGTAGGGAATTTTCATCAGTCTGATAACAGTGTAGGTGTAACATTAGACATTTTAGCTGCTGGTACTGAGCTGAGAGAACAAAATCCACTGAAACCAATGTTTTCTATAAGTGATATTTTCACCTTTCTGAACATAAACCCCAAATGACAATTCAGTTGACCTCATTCTTAGATGAGGATAAACAGTACCTGTTAAAACTTGATTGTGTTCATAAATGAGGGATTAAAATCATTTGAACATAGTACATGATACTTTTAACATCAGAAAATAGCTCACTTCGTTTTTTCTTCCACACTTTTTACAATTAATGAGGCTTCATGATAAGAAGGATTGGACGTAATTAATAGGCATCATTAAGATAGTCCATTCTTTTAGACAGATTGACAGAAATAGCAAACTTAAAAATAAAAAACCACTGAAATTAATAATTATGCCTCTCATATTTATAACATATGTGTCTAGTTAATCAACTTAATATGGTTTCTTAATGTGTTTGCTTCTGGCATAATTAAGCAAAGCTGTCTCATTTCAAATGTTCAGTCTTTGTTAAGAGACTTAAAAACCATAGACAACACAAAGAAGCTGGTGTTAAAAACAGAAATATGTCCCTACTGGAATCAAAATGGCAAAGGGATCCTCTCAATCACAGAAATTCAGAGTATAAGCATTAGAGCAGGTTTTGCATGAAGAATCTTGACATACTTGCTTTCCTAGGTGACAAATACAAAAGCTAAGTTAGTCTCAGAAGAATATAGTGAAAGTTAAAACCCATATTTAATTGGTACATCTATGTCCATTGTAAGCCTCCATAGATACCCTGTTTAGTGAGGTAACTACTGTTATTTATGAGGACTGCCCTTCACCGGACAGCAATGGGAAGTGACTGTAGACACTGAGTAAGAGAAGCAGAGAAAACACAAAGTGCAGATGTACGGATCCAAAAGGCTATAAAATCTAAAGGCGGTTAGGAAAGGGGTACAGGCAGCTGCACATTTCATGGATGGGAGAGTGTCATCACAAGACAGTTCATGGCTGGTGTCATGAGGGAAGCTTAGAATTGTTGAGAAGATGTTTAATCAAACGTTATACAAGTTCCTGTCTATAAAATTTACATACTTTAGAATTTATTCATAGAGTTTTAAAAATCAAAATAGTGTATGAAAATTTATATGTATGGAAAGTTTAGTTGGTTGAAATGATGCATTTTCAGAAAGTTCCCTAGCCTCTTTAATATATTAACATAAGTCAGCATAATACATGTTTATGTGTTTGTTATTTAATAAGCCAAGGTATACATAAGGTATACATAGTCAAAGCATTACCTTTTTGTGCCAGATCCTCAAACTCTCTGCTAATATACACTCTCCACATACAAAGACAGAAAGAAAATTATTACCATATTTTCACTTTATCTGCATGGCTAGTTACTGCATTATTGGCTTTCTTTTTTTAACTTTTTATTAATTACACTTTATTCATTTTGTATCCCCCCATAAGCCCCTCCCTCCTCCCCTCCCGATCCCACCCTCCCTCCCCTTTCTGCATGCATGCCCCTCCCCAAGTCCACTGATTATTGGCTTTCTTATGTGTTTATAATTATTATTGAAAGTAGAAATATATAAGCCTTTATACATTTTTTTTTAATTTTTAGAAACTGCTGATCCAAGACAAGGAAATTTGCATAATTTGTCAAAAAACAGTTTATCCAATGGAGTGTCTTATAGCAGACAAGCAGAATTTTCATAAATCTTGCTTCCGATGCCACCATTGCGGCAGTAAACTGAGGTAAGGTGTTCTGTTGAGTGTGCCCCATAGAATGTGTCACCGTGTAGCATATGTATAATATCTAGTCTCTAGAGAAGGGGTTCTGAACCTCCCTAATGTTGTGATCCTTTGATAAAGTTCCTCAGGTTGTGGTGACCCCAACCATAAGACCATATTTTCATTGCTATGTTATAAATGCAATTTTGCTGCTGTTAAGAACCGGCAATGTAAATGTCTGATATTTCTGATGTTCTTAGGAGAGCCCTTTAAAAGGATCTTTTGACCCCCTCGAATGGGGCTGTAACCCACAGCCTGAGAACTGCTGGTTTAAGAGAGAATTTTCCAGATCTTCCTCCTGCCTTCAGTGACTACATTCACACAGGGGGGGGGGAGTGTGCCCCTGTTCTATTGTGCATTGCCCAGGTTGGTTGCCAATCCTTTCCTTTCGCAAGCTCACTTTCCTCACTTTCTAGTTGTGGAAACCATGCGGGTAAGGAAGCAGCCTGAGTTACTGAGCGAGTCAGGATTTTTAAATTAGTGTTGTGGCTGAACGCAATAAGCTTTATTTATTTATCTAAACCCCTTCTGTAAAGAGCACATAGTGAATAGTGTTATTTGACAGGATATTTTGTTCCCATGAGTACTCATGTGCTATTGGATGGCCGTTCCAAGAATGGCGGGTTACAGAGGAAAGATGGGTGCAAATGATATTTTCCAGGGACACTTTGTAGCCCACAGCAGGTGATGGTAAAAATCTTGCCTGTTTGAGCTACATTGTGTAAGTTAAGAAATGGAACTGGGAATGATATTAGTGACAGGTCAGGGAAAAGCTGTTTATTTCTGAAGTAAAAGAAGCATGCTAAATCAACACAGTGGCATGAGCTTTCCTTTCCTCACCTCTCAAAGTAGATGCATTTAAATGAACATGACATTTGGTAAAGCTTAGGTTTAAAATGCTGACCTGGAATTTATTTTTTGCTGGATCTAATGTACACCTCTTAGATTATCATTTTCCTGACTTTAATTGGCAGTGTCAAATATTCCTCAGTGCAACATTATTTTTCCCTTGGTTTCTATGACAACCTCCACATCCGGGGTGGTCCTTTGCAGGCACCTGTGTGGGTGACTCTTTTTCTGACCATCAATGAGATGCTAGAGCTCTTCAGAAGCCAGCAATGAGATATGGTCTCCTCATTGTTTCTCTCTCCTCGTGGGGAATCACACACCATCCTGTAACTTAAACCATCTTCCAAGTGGGGACAATCTGAAATTGAACTGCAGGGGCCGGATTGCACCTTTGCTCCTTAAATGCTTATATGCAATCATCAGTGTCTCAGGAAGCACAACAACATCAACGGCATCCGTTTTCTTCTCACTGTTGACGTTCATTGGCTGTTTAATTTTTATCCCTCTGTAAATGACATGGCATGTTCATGCAAACAACATGAACATTAAGGGTGGCCACGCCATGAAGATATCTCACACTGACTCTTTTCCTTCACTCCTTCCACCCAAGCTATCACCCACTTCTCTAATGACAGGACTCACAACTCCACTTAAGCTGCGTGCATTCTGCCTTTCCTGTAACCCCAAACCATCCTTCCAGCAAGTACTATCTCTCACTTCGGCTCATGCCATAGTCATCATAGATAGCGATTTGGTCTCCCTATGATCACTGCTCTTACCGGCACCACTATTAACAGTCTGTCCTATGAGTGAACCCTATAATTTAGTAAAATAATCTTTCTAAGACCCAAATGTGAAGCTACCTCTCTGTTTAAAATGTAGACCAGTTTCTGAAACATTACTTTATGTGCAGTTCAAATCTAGCTGTTTCTCTCCAAATCTTCAAGAATCCTGTATCCTTCCCAGTTACATGTTCCTTCTCATTCAGAATTACTTCCTTCCATTTCCAGTAAATAGCTGTTTTTCTCTCATACGTCTAGCTAGTGCCATATAAATCCCTTTTCCTTGTAGAGATTTATAATACCCATCTGCCAGATCTTTATCAGACTCATTCTGCAGACCTCAACTAAGGCAACACCATCCACAAAGCTTATGTTGACTTCCATAGACAGGTCAGGGATATTTCCCAATTACTCCTCAATGCATTTCTTGCACTTTCCCCGCTGTCCACACGATCTAACACAATTCTCACTGGTATTAACTGTGCTATTAATGTTTACTACTAGTAGAGTCTGACATATGATAAAGAGTCAAAATTGCATATTCAAAGACTGATATTTTTAAGTGACTAATCAAAAATGTGAAGGAAGTCACACAAGTCAAATGCATGGTACAAAAAAAAAAAAAATACATTACAGCATGAACACTAATTAACCAGTAACCAAAAGAAAAAAAAATTGAACTTTGTTGGCCATATTGGCAGACTCCTTTATGGATTTCATTTTAAACACAACTTCTACTCATTTCCGTTAGTAAAAGCATCCATTCTAACGATCATGTCTTTCATTTAGTGTTTTCCGCCATTGTGTATTTTTCTAGCACTATATTTTATTTTTTTATTTTCTTGTGACTTTCAATTTTTTTTTATTCTTTAAACTTCCACTGTATTCCCTTCTTGTGTCACAATTTATTTGGTAAGAGCAGAGGACATTTGGCCTGCAGAGTGATCTAGTCTAAAGTTGCTGATTGTACACACAAATTATTCCAGCCTTCTTTTTGTGTTAGATACTTCCAAACTGACAGCTAGAACTAGATTTTAGAGTAGAACTACTGTGTACATGATTCCTGGCCAAGTAACCACTTCTTAGGAAAGAAAAGTATGGCCTTCATAAACCTACCAATCCTGTATGTGCACTTGTGGGGGTGGTTGATTGGCTTCACTCAAATGCACTGACTGGCATTCACCTCTCCTTCTCCCTGCTCAGAGGAATCTCTTTCAGTGTCTACTGAGTACTTTTTCCATAACTTAGCAGACTTTGGGGACTTCCTTTTTGTCTGACAGATGCAGGCGAGCTTTACAGTCCCAATTCTGTAAGGCTTCTTTTCTTCAATGCAGTGCTTCTTTTCTTTAATACAGCAGGTTGTGACCCCTTTGAAGGGTCAGACAACCCTTTCACGGGGGTCACTTAAGGCCATTGGAATAAACAGATATTTATATTACAATTCACAACAGAAGCTAAATTATAGTTATGAGGTAACCAAATAATTTTATGATTGAAGGTCACCATGACATAAGGAAGTATATTAAAGGGTCACAGCATTAGGAAGTTTTAAAACCACTGATCTAATGATATGTGCTCCTTGAAGTCAACACTGTTGGTGCCCTTTCTACTCTTTCAGTTTTTGTTTCTAAGCTTTTTTAGTGGAAATAACTAATAAATGTTTATATATTCACTATATGTTCAATGATGATCCAAATCAAATTCAAAACTTGCCCATGAAACTGCTTCCCTTCTTTGTATGTCCTTTCCTCCACTCCTCAAATGTAAAGGAGAAGGAGTTAGGCTTGGTGGTACAGACCTGTGTTCTAAGCTACTCTGTGGCTGAGAAGTGACAGTAACCTCAAGATATCGGTAGGCAATCTAATGACACACTCTCTGAAAAGAAAGTGTGGAAAGTGGGGTTGAGATATGCCTCAGTGTCAGAGCTCTTGTCTAGCACACATACAAGCCTGGACTCAGTGCTAAGTACTATAAAAATTTGTAACTATAATCAAATTGTAACAATAATTTAGAAAATTAAGATGTCTTACATTCATTCATTTAGCCTTGGATTGGAACTGGGATTGCAGTTGAGGCAGTAGGGTGTTGGTGTAATATATAAAAGTCTCTGGGTTTGAAAAGGATCACTGTGTCAAACAAGAACAGTAATCCCAGCACTAGGTTCAAAGCCATCCACAGCTACTTAGTGAGTTCCTGGCCAGCCTGGGTTATATGAGACCAGCAACGACCTGGCTGCTCACAACTGCCCTTAATGCCAGTTCCGCTGGACCTGGCGCCCTCTTCTGGTCTCCTTTTGCACCAAGCACTCAAATAGTGAACATACAGACAACAGACAACAGACAAAATACACATCTTTTTAAAAAGTTTAAAATTATTGAATAATAAAATATATCAGTAGTACCAATCAACAAGCCAAATTTTTATAAAATTTACAATTCATTTACTCACTCTTGATTTTTTTGAAAAAAAAAAGTTACTGTGTCATCCATGCCAAGTCATATACACACTGATTGCACATAGTTCCCTCTTTGCCTCCTAACCTTTCATTTCATCCTGGAAGTACCATGGTATTTGTTAGTTCCTTGCACTAAGCCTAACATTGGTATACTTCTTTAGATACTCTAGTTATTCAATCACATTTTCTTTGACCTTCATCAGAAAGCACTTTGGTAGAGACAGTATTTCTTAAATTCTATTATGCTGGTAACATTCAGCCAGTGTCCTTCCTGGCAGAAAGGTAATTTCGCTAACATTAAAATCTTTGACTGATATTTACCTTCATTGACTATCTCAAGTGTCTCAAATGCCTTGTTTCATTTCCTTTTGGTATAAAGTGTTGGAATAGCTTGCTAACCCAATTTTTTATATGATGCATTCTCCTTTTGAAGACAGAAAGAGAATTTTTTTGTTTTTCTTTTTGGTCGTGTTTTGGTTTTTGGATATAGAGTCTCCTCACTGTGTATCTCTGGCTGTCTTAGAACTCATTATATACCTCCCCCTGAGGGGGAAGCAGCATTACCAGACCACAGAAGAAGACAATGCAGCCACTTCTGATGAGAGTTAATTGACTAAGATCAGAAGGAAGGAAAAGAAGACCTCCCCTATCAGTGGACTTGGAGAGGGGCTTGCATGCAGAGGGTGGAGGAAGGGAGGGATTGGGACGGGAGGAGAGAGGGAACCACAGGGGGGATACAAAGGGAGTAAAGTGTAATTAATAAAGAAAAAATGTAAAAGAAAGAAAGAAAACAGCACTAAGAGTAAAGAGACTATTACTCATCCCTAACATGCTAATAA